TCATGATTGCGAGTAAAGAAATGCAAGAACATTTAAGTGTTCTTAGGGAAGTTTTTGATCGATTAGCAAGGAACAAACTAGAATTAAGAATGGACAAGTGTGAGTTTCTACAAGCAAGTGTACAAAACTTATGATTTTTGGTAACTAGCAAAGGAATACAGGGTAATGACAAAGGAATAGAAGCCGTTCGAGATTTTCCCGTTCCAGACAAAGTACACGGTGTTAGAAGCTTTCTGGGTTTGTGTTCGTATTTTAGAAGGTTCATTAAAGATTTTTCGATGATCGCTAAGCCTCTATATGATTTGTTAAAAAAGGATAAAGAATTCGTATTTGAAGAAAAGGAATTGCAATGTTTTGAAATGCTCCAGTGTTAGGAATATATTATTACAAAGACGAGGTAGAATTGCATACAGACGCCAGTGCACAAGGCTTTGGGGCAGTTTTGCTGCAAAGAAAAGAGGATTAAAAGCTACATTCTATATTTTATTTTTCGAAAGCAACAACAAAAGACAAAGCAAAGTATCATAGTTTTGAATTAGAAGCTTGAGCAATAATTTACGCTCTTAGAAGATTTAGAATTTATGTGCAGGGTAGACGATTTAGAATAGTGACAGATTGTAACTCACTGACGTTGACGTTAAATGGAATTTAGTTGAACCCCCGTATTGCACGGTGGGCATTAGAATTGCTAAAGTATGACTTTAAATTAGTCCATAAATCGGGAAATCTCGTGCAACACGTTGACGCGTTAAGTAGAAATACAAACATAATGGTTGTAGAAACGAATAGCTTTGAAGATAATTTAATTATTTATCAAGCGAAAGATGAAAAATTAAAAGATGTTAGAAAAAAGTTTGAAAATGAGGAAGATAAAATGTTTGAGATGAGGAATGGAGTTATGCATGGGAAGTCGAATAATGGGAATGTTATTTTGTGTTCCAAAAGAAATGGAGGAAAATATATTATACAAATATCACAATGAACTAGGTCATTTAGGAAGAGATAAAGTTATGGATGCTATTGTTAGGACGTATTGGTTTTCGAGTATGAAAGAGAAAGTGGTTAGACATATTGAAAATTGTATAAAATGTGTAGCATATTCGCCAAAGTCAAGGAAAGGAGAAGGACTGTTGCACAGTACACGAAAAGGAAATGTGCCATTTGAAATTATACATGTTGATCATTATGGACCGGTTGATAATGGAAGAGCAAAGAAACATCTTTTTGTGGTTATAAACGGATTTACTAAATATGTTAGGCTATATGCAACAAAAATGAGGAACACAAAGGAAGTAATTATAGCGTTGAAAGACTACTTTAGGTCTTACAGCAGACCAACTTGTATAGTTTCGGATAGGGGAAGCTGTTTTACGTCAGAAGAAAATTTATGGAAGAATGTAATATTAGACATGTTAAAATTGCGACTGGGTTGTAAATTTAATATAGTTTATTTATTTTATCGAATATAATATCATTTTTCGTCACAATTGTTGATATCAGAAATTTTTGTTAAGACGGCTTTCGCCACTACTTTTTACCTCGTTAAGAGGTGTTTTTGTTTATAATAGTAGCTTAGATATGTATACTTAATATTTCCCCAGTATGGCCTACTTAAATAAATTTTCCCTTTTTCGATGAACATTTTCAAATTTAGGCATCAACTTAGCCTTGGAGCCCGAATTGTCAAGGGCACCAGAGCTCGAACGGCATAAGGTCACCTAAAACCAAATACTATATTTTAGCTAAATTTCCCGAAAATATAGTGCTTGTATATTTTGATTTTGTGAAGTCGAAAAGATGGAACTGCCTCCATCTCCTGAAAGAGATTTCGGTAAGTTTTACTCCAGTTACAAGTTATTCAACCGGTTTTATTTTTCGTATTGGAAATCTTTGGTCGGCAACCAAGTACGTGGGTCTAAGTTACTTAATTTTAATTTCCCGTAGGCGCTCCTTAATCAGCAACTATTAATGCTGCACTTTGCTTATTTACGAGCTCCAAATGACTTCCATTGAGTGTCGTCCGTTTTTTTTTGCGTGGGCAGCTACTATTCCTTGTCCTCGGTTGCTTTTTTCCGTGGCCTTTTCATACTTTTTGTCCTCCCCTCGCTTCTCAATTGGCATCTTGTGCTTTTGGGTTATTTATTGCGATACTCAAGGCCCGCGATGAGTCAGCGAGGGGAGATGGTAAGGTTGGGCGGACTTATTTATTCAAAAAGGAATTGTAATTATTTATTTATTTGACGTCAAGCTTCCCAAAGCCTACTTGTAAATAAATAACTTTACAAAGTATTTGCTTAATAGTTTTTAATTTAAAAATAAATTATAATATGCCAACTTCTACTACTAAAATCCTGTTACCATATATTTGTGGCCCTCCACAACTCTTATTTAGCTCTTATTTAATTTTCAAACGTCAAGTTTCTCAAAGCCTACTTGTGAATAAAATGACATATTCATTATTTATATAACACTAACAACTTTTTAAAAAGTTCTATAGTATTTAATTCTTCCATATATTTTAAGCCCTCGCCAACCCTTTGTCCTTGTACTTTTAGTCGCTCGTTGCTTATTTTGCCCACAGTTTGTCACACTTAATTAAAGAAAATTTTAAGCACTTTAGATGTCAATTTGTGCCCACTTCTCGCAGTGCCCAATACCTTTTCACCAGCTTTTCCCCCCACATTTTCAATTGCGTCAAAAGGGGCAAAACTAAAAGCATACGAAAAAAGAAGAAACGGTTTAATCAAGTTGAAACCCTTTCGTGCGTGCCGGGGCCAGTTGGCAGTGCCATCCGAGAAGGAGAATCCTTGACCGAACCGAACCGAACCCACTTTCCAGACCCCCGAGATTCCGGTCCAAGTGGCTCAAGTGGCCAAGTCACCAAGAGTCGACTTGAGTCGAGTCGGCCCAACTCGGGGCGTGTTAATTTCCAAGGTGTTTGCTATTCCAAGCTGTTTCCGTTCTAATATAAAAAATCAGCGTAATTAAAAATCAAATGATTTTTTCCTTGGTCCTCAAAAGTCGTCGTCCCCCATCTTTATCTTCATCTATCTTCATTAATTTATATCTTCATTAATTGTGCTCTTTTGCTGTGGGACAGCGGGAAATCCTTCGCCTCTATCCTTTTCAATTCATTCAATGCTGCACAATTTTTAACTCATTAATTGGTGTGGGCAACCCTTTTTTTTACCCAACTTTGGGCTTCACCCTTGCTTTTGGTGAAAAATCTAGACGAAAATGTTCTGAAAACGGAGCCAAGTGATTTATTTGTTTAATCCCTTTCATTTTCGACCGATTTCTTTTTATTTATTTTCTTGCCCAGCCACTTGAAATGTTGCTGATTAGAGAAAAGAACAGAAGACACCAACTGAAGTGGAAGGGGAATTGGGATTCATTTCTTGGCATTTATTAAAAGTCTGCATTAAGATGGGATTGTATTCGAAGAAGTTTAGCATAGAGAATATACTCCTCGTTGAGCAAATAATTAATATGCCCACTTAATGCCCTATCTAAAGTCGCAATACTCTTCCACGAACACCGCTTAATTGATTCGTTATCGATTCGCTTTGACCCTCTTCATGGCCCATCAATATGGCTAAGAGAGAAAAAAGGGGAAGAGGGGCCCAGAGCGGAGGATCGACAGACATTGAGCGACCAATGCGACTGGCAACTTGTTTAGCTGATTTTAATCCGCATTCGATACGGTAACAATTTTTACTTCATCACTCTCCTGGCAACCGAATGGCCATCTCTTCATCGGCCGCAACTGAATCTCGTGGCTTCCACACCAATCAAGGAACCTCGGGGGGCGGGACGAGCGGGACGAGACGAGCTTTTGACATTCGCATAACTTCCGATTTAATCCCAGCGCGTGAACGTCGATCCCCATGTCCCAATCGCTTGAGCGGTTTCAGCATCAGTAGTACACCGAGAGAAATATATAGTCTTAAAGAATAACCTTATCAACAGTTATATTATTATTACCTAAGTATTAGGTATTAGGTTAGCCTTCAGCTTATTTAAATTGATTTCTTACATTCTAAAATCATATCTTAACCCTAATTATGTTTAATCAAAGATCCTTTAAAATTAATTGTTGAGAATATGATTTTCTACTTAATTATAATTAATAACATACAAAAGGCCCCACGTTGGGCGCCACAATATTGTTCAGCCATTGCCCAATGTTGATTAGTTGCATTTTTAACCAGTAACATCTTAATTCAGGACTAATACCAATTAGTTTTTCTTAGTGCACCACAACTTCTCGGTTCGCATCGCCTCTAACTCCATCTGCTGAGTTATGCGCTTCTGTGCGTTGTCGTAATTTGTAAGCTTTTACGCGCCGGCTACCAAGAGCCCTACTAAACCGAACCAATCCGATCCCATAGGAGCAGAACCATCCCCCCTCCCCTTCATTCCTTTCCGATCTGATACGATACGATCCCCGATCCTCGATTCCCCGAGACATAGCAGCATCGTTGAAGCGATAAAAGATCAATTTAGTTGCGCCACAGTCGCCGCTGATTTAAATCCGATCATTGCGCGACGATTTGATGCGAACTGAAACATGCACAAGGAATTTGCAATTATCGAACTTCAAAGGCCCTCTTGCCATACAACCCGTTTTCTTTCTTTCTTCATCATCTTACAAATTTGATAGCGGCTTGGGAATAACTGGGCTGATGATTAGGTGTGAGGTGATATTAGAGATCAGTTAATTGGCAGACCAGTAGTACTAGATATTCAGCATTTGTAAATGATTTAAAATCGGTTTCATGCTATAGGGCTGAAATACTTTGCTTTGGGGGGTTAAGTTCACGGCTCGAAAAATCAAATAGCAAAGAACTACAAATTACATGCCGAAATGCACTTCAATACAAAGCACTTGGGTAAACACCAGCAGACAGACAGCGGGGGCGATGGGGAAAAGGGGGCTGGGCACACCTGTGGGCCACTCTGAATTTTCCTGTTTTCCCCCCAACTTTCCCAGCTTTTCCCGCCACTTCCACATTGTCGATGTAAACCTTAAGGTATTTTCCGATAATTGCACATTGCTGTTGATGCTCCCGCCGCCAAAAAGAGTTTGCAAGGTTAGTCCAACCACCCCAACTCCCACTTTCACCCACTTCCGCCCACTTTTCGTATGTCTGTGCGCAAGATAAACAAAAGACAACTGTTCCATGTGCTTGTGCGTGAATCGTCTGGCACATGTCTTCGCTTTCCCCACTACTTTCCAGCTATTAATAAAGCGAAACTTCGAGCCTGGGATTTCCATATCAACTTGTTTGCCGTAGCCGGTGACGACTGTACTTACTACTTAATTAATTCAAATCTTGCTAATTGCATTTTATTTGCTTTCGCTGCGCAGATTTCAAGTTTTTAATTGCAAATCTCTTTTTCCCCATTGAGAGCACACGCGCACATCCTATATAAACACATGATAAGTTTCCTATATTGACATACCCTACCTGTGTTTTACTTCTCAACGATTTAAATATATATACTTTTAGCTGATCTTGTATTATATTTTGCAGAGGGTGAAATTGGAGTTCTTAATAAGATCGTGTTGAAGGTGTATCAGCTCGATGATTTGGTGTTTAATCGTACCGAGGCCCATTACGATACTGGTTTGGTGGCCGGACTGGTCAGCATTGCCGTTGCCATTGGCGACTATGAAACGTCAGAAGTATCAGGTGAGTTTAGAAATCGATTCTTCTCGAGCCTTGTCTAAAAGTCCTCTTTATAGAGCGTCGTTTTCGGTGCACCCAACGAGGAAGCTGATCAAGTTGAGGAAGAGGAAGCCGAGGACAGTGGGGGGGAGGTCGATGAGGAGGGTGAGGCCGATATCCTGGTGGATGAGGACTATTTGGAAGAGTCGATTTCGGATGACGCCACTGACAACTCTGAGGCGCTGGAATCGATTGGCCAGCAAGACACACAGACTGAAGAGGTGCCACCGCTCGAAATCGCCGAGCTCAATTTGGATGAACCCACTGAGGTTGCATCCGCTGTCCCGGAGCCGAGGACCAAGAGAGAAGTCGGGCATCAAGCCCGTTGCCACCATGTATAGTAAGGAAGAGAGCTACAAGGTGATCCAGGCCAGGGAGGCTGGATCCATGGAGCCCCTGAACAAGCTGATGACTCCTCGCACCCTGGTTGCCCTACACCGCACCTCGGTTGCCGTTCAGTTCCCGGCTCAGGCTCCGGTTCCGCCCCCAAAGCCCGGGAAACGTACCGGTTCTTCCAGGCGTGGACGAAACTAAGCCGTGCATCCCTCTTGATGGCGTTACGTTTTCTTTTTGGTTTTAGTTACTTATATATTTTTTAAATTTCTACACTTGTGCCACACGTCGTTCACCAGACACATGGAGGGTCTTTATCCTAGTCCTAGCCAATAAATTCCGTCAACTCTAAAAACACTGCACACGCTTTTCGAGATGGCTCGCCAGTTTTAGGGTCTTCTCGACACAAACACCTGCAAATGTTAGACAAGCTATCAAACCAAAATTGTTACCGTCGAGTATTCGAAAGTAGAGGTGCCTTCCAAATTGCCAGGCCATTAAATGTTTCGATCAAAAATGCAGTGTCTATTGTCGTTTTATTTATAAGGGGGATACAGATGTATATATGGTTATATCCAGGCCTGAAATATTATCTCATAGGTTAAACTTATATGAATAGAGCCCATCTATAAGTGGGAATATAGAGCTATACGATCTAAAATTGTGTTGGTGATAGAAATATTTTCTAAGCTCTGTTATTTTATTGCCAAAAATGGGTTTGTCATTGGCTTAACTTGTAGGAAATGGAGCCTAGAACCTATAGCCTAAAACCGAGGGCTATCCAAGGACAAGTCCCTGCCATCATCATGTTCAATGGCCGCTCAATAGACTCTCCTCGTATCCGCTGTTGTAATTTGCTGGCCCTGCCAGCTGTCGCTGCGGTTGGCCGCCTAATGGTCGTCAAAGGGGCGGAATGTGGGGCCGAAGGACCCCCATTTCAGCACCCCCCTTCGGTAGAGCAATGGCTGCAGTCATATGGTGCTGATACCCCTGCGAAGGGAGAGAGATACATCCCAATGGCCCGGGCGCCTTTGGATTTCATTAAACGCAAATTTATGCCTTTACTTGAATGTCAAATATTGCAAATGTCAAACGATGAGGCGGCCAGTGGAAGAGCATGGGGATATGGGATAAGGCACTGGAAAAAATTCTACAAGGTCTAAATCATCAAAATAGAATTTAAAAACTTTTAATATGGGCTGGTAAGCTCGATTTATAAATTTTTAATCAATTGCCCTACTTAAATGCGTTTCTAAATTATTATAAGTCATCTAGAAATGTGAAATATTAAAAAATTATATGTTAAATCTATTTGAAAGACTTTTAAAATAAATTTCAAAATATCTTCAATCTTTACTAATACCTTATTGAGAAAATACAAATTTGGAATATAGATTAAATCAAACAAAAACACCTCTTAACGAGGTAAAAAGTAGTGGCGAAAGCGCTCTTAACAAAACTTTCTGATATCAACAAATGTGACGAAAAATAATATTACATTCGATAAAATAAATAAACTATATTAAATTTATGTATTCGGCCCGCAACAGTAAATATTTATTTACCTACACGTAAATTTTCTGCTGTAGCGTGCCGAATACATAAATACATATGGGAATCTCAAGGGCTGTATAGTTTCAGATTCCAAGAGAAACCTGTCGTTTCTTATATTTTCCGCCGAACTAGCGGGTTTTTCCAAAGTGGTAGAACAAATAGATCAAGTTTGCTATTTTGATTAGCTTCATGCAAGTAAAGGACTCTAAAACCATAACGGTTTTTCCGTTTGAAAAAATCTAATAAGAATATTTTTCATCAAATTGGTTTTTTTCTTGCTTATTCCAATAAGTATGAAATATTTCGTATACGGAGCTGAAACGAGTTGCCCTTTTTATCGCTTAATATCTTCCAAACGGTATTTTTAGTGTGTTTTGTATTTTAAAGTGTTTTGTATCAAAAGTTGAGGAATCTTAAGGGCTATATGATTTGAAATTTAAAAAGAAATCATTCGACTCAATTTGGAGAAAATAGTCAAAAAGTGGTTTTAAAAAATAACTTTTTGTCATAACTCGAAATCTATTATATTAAGACAATTTTACTGTATGATGAGTATTAAGCAAATTAAATTATCTTTTCAGGGACATATAGCACGTTTCTGTAGCATTAGTTGTTTAGATACTATAAGCATTTTAAATCTGGCTTTTTTTTTTTGATTTCCCGCTAAACTAGCGGTTTTTTCCAAAAGTCGTAGAACAAACGTTTTCTATTTTAAGCTACTTTATACACCCATAGGGTTTCCAAAACCCTAAAACTAAGATGGGATGCATACAAACCCACAAACAAAGGGACAAACATTTTCATTTTGGGAAAAAGAAGAAAATCTTGTTTTTTGAATTACTTTTGAACGGAACATCGTATTTGAACAAATGAGGTGTCATTCGACGCGTATTCTCAGTTAAAATAAAACTAGCTAAACAGCCGGGGGCATTTATCCCCACCGTATCCAGCAGCTCCAATTTTCTAAATTTTTACTTTTACACTTTCACCGCTTTTTCTCCCAAACAAATCTATATTTTGAAAGTCTTGGTATGCAATATTCTTAGTTTGTGCGATACCTTTCGATTGTTGTATCACTCGTTAAGATCGGACCATAATTGCAGATTTTCAATTCTGCGGCTATATATAGTAGTTGTCTTCGCACGCTCTCTTGCGCGCTTCGCCACTACGTGTACTACCGTCCACAGTGATAAGATTTATTTTTTTTAGAAAAGTCAGTTTGTTTTTAAAAACATCAAATGGTGAAGTATCATTGCGAGTTGTGCTTAGAAACAAAATCCTTTATTACTCGCAGCGGCCTAAAAGCGCATACCTTATAGATACACAACTTCGCCTATCAGAAATCTAAATCTTCCTTTTATTATTGTTATTTCTGTCCTAAAGTAAGGAAAATTTGGTTGCGATACGATTTCAATATGCATCGTCTGTTGGTTCACAACGCAGAGCTAAAAAGTATTTGTAAGGCAAAGAAAAATTGTCCAATAAATAAAATACAATTATAAGCTCACAATTATAAAATAGTTTTTACTTTATTTTTCTTTATGTATCGTGTATTTATAATTAAAAAGTTAAGAATCTACATCAAATAAAACATCTAGTAATGCGTTGTCATCTCCATCATCCAGCAAAGTTAAATAATGGTAAGTCGGTGGGGGTTGAGGTCCTATAAGTTCTTCAAAGATGTGGTTGTCGTTGGGAAAAACCTCATATTCTGACCTGGATAGGTAGTCTTCCAATTGAAATTCCTGTGCACACTGATATTCATCTTCGCTTTCATCGTGTGTGATAAGGGATTTCAAAAAGACTGCGCAGTATTCCCTAATGGAAACTGGCTCCACTAAAGAGATTCCAATCCCGGGTCCCTATTTTGGGTCGATGATGCAGCCAGTTGAAATACGCTTTGTAGAAGGCGATCAACCGAATCTTCTGTTTCAGAAACCTGCACAAGGTCCAGATCCGAGTTTTCAATTATTTGAACATCAGATTCTTGCGTAGGTGGTAAATCCAGGTTGTCAATCTCAACCTCGTTTTCCAAATAAATAAATTCTACGCTTAGATCCATAGGTATGCAGTATTAAGGCATTTAAAAAACTGGTCGTGAGCAAATTGAGTGGTGTCATTTTTATAGTCTAGAATGTTCACTTAACAGATTGACATCTACAGGGAGTGCATACAGGCATGTTGTACTCCTAGAACCAATCCGATTGGTTCTCGAATATAAGGAGCAGCCCAATACCCCAGTCGAATGGTTATTAGAAGGAAAACGAACACAAGGATTGATAACAAGTTACCTTGGGTGAACGTGGTGTAGGAGGGGTTAGGATGTAGGTAAACATCGAAGGTGTACAACTTTGACTCAGGTCAAGGAAAGGCAATCTCTGTGCAAGCAAGATACGAATAAATGGTCAGTTAAGGTCGGGCCAGCATTGGCATAAGATGTAGCGATGCAACCATTCGAATTTCCTAAGCCTTAAGCTAAGAGTAGCTATTAAAAGCGGATGCGGAGGTTTTTTTCGGCGGTTTTTAAATGTAGTTTGTATGAGTTGTTTTTTTTTGTAAGCATATACACATCCCATAATCAGTGCGTTTGGTATCCTCCCGGAATCCTCCCGTTTTATTGCATTTAAAATATTGTGACTCCTCGTTATCTTCTGAGAATGAGCAGGAGAAAGTGAACGTGCGTACCCACGAACCCGAATCTCATGCCCTACCCTCGAGTCCTTACTCATGACTGCTTGTGAGCGAAGGTGTGAAGTTTTAATACAATATATACAATTATGGTCGACTCCAAGCTGACCTACACATCCCACCTCATGCCTTTACAAAAACTGTACGTCTTCGGTTAGGGCACACTAACTTAACCCATAGCTATCTTTTTACTCGCCCTCCCACAACACCCTCTTGCCCCCTATGCAACAACGAAATAAGAACTTCTCGACACATCCTAATAGAATGTTCCTATTTCGATTCCATAAGATCGTCTCTCTTCACTTCCACAAACCCCTTACAACCCATTTTTTCCCCAACGCACCACAAATAAAAAAAATTATAAAATTCCTTAGCTCTAATAATATAATTAATGAAATTTAATAAGCTTGTAAACTTATAGATAAATGATGTTATGAAATGAATATTGAAATTTGTTATCTAGTTTTTAAGCTTAAGGCCACGTAGCTATAGCTTAATTTAAGTTCGCCTGTAAATTTTAAATTATAGTCGAACAATTTATAATAATAATAAAAATGAATTGCTAAGAGATTTCGTAGTTGAACTCGGGCTGTGGCAGCACCGGTAAAAAATGTGGAAAGGAAGTAACGGCCAAAGGTAGGGTGGGCCATTGACCACAGCAACATCCCACTGACGTAAATATATCTAAATGTGTATGTTTAAATATGAGGTTTCAGTTTGAAGTTTTGTTATCTCCGATTGTAGTTGCGTCTTACAGTGCATTTCTATGTGTAACTGAGAGGCAAAGTATTGTCGCAGCACGCTATTGTTTTTAAGATAGGTTAACAACGTCAAGGCATTTTCGGTGCAACACCCCTTAAGCCGACGAGCCCAGCCGAAACCCAAAAGCGTGCGTTGCATGGGAAAGTTTTCCAACTGCCACCTTGAACGTTGTTCATTACACACAAAAGCGGCAGCCAGTGAGCATTTGCAGGAACATATTTGCTGTGTTTGATTTAGAAATCATTTTCTGAATATGCTGAACAGAAGAGTTATTTGCACTTATAGTTCTTCCAAAATAATTAGCACTATCTACTTTTAATTTTATAGTGTTATTGCACAGAGCACTTAAAGGTCTTCTTCTAAGTAATTAAAGCTCGATCGCTATCCGCATCCCCTCGCTCGCGCACAGCAAGCCCAGTAACCCCAAAGTCGATCACAAAGGCAAAGAGCGAAACTTCCTTAGCCACCCAAGGAGACGACAAGTAGCTGTCTGTCCAGACCGAGTCCGTAAAGTCGCTAGCAACTCGTTCTCAGGCAAAAATGAGTAACGAAATTTCAATTGCAGTCCTCGCGCGGTTCATCACGGTGTCCGACCGTATGAGCCATTTCAGAGCGACGGTTGAAACTCCAGGGCCGTCATCTCCGTCCGTCCCCACCTGCAAAGTCCGTAAGGAACAAGTCCGCTCACTCTGGGACAAAGCCGAGAAAGAATTTGAAGCGTGTCTAGACACGATTTCCAGCATTACGACTGAAGGGGCGGAAGAGATTCTGGCGGCTCTGCACCGAAAATATGAATATTGCAATTCGGTGTACGAGGAGCTAGCGGTTCAGCTCAGTGAGCTAATCGGCCGAGCCAATTCTCAGCATCCGCCCACGAGCACCAATAATCAGTCCACTTACATTCCGTCTGGGTGCCGATTACCGCCATGC